ACTTATTTACAAGAGAAACCTGATTGTAACAAAGAATGATGACAACAGTGGAACAACAAAGACAACAATAGACAATCATAAAGAATGCGCACAAATTGAGATTTTTTTTTAACAAGTGAAAATGTTTTTTAAAAGAAAATGTAACATAACAAAACAGCTAGGTTGTAATCCAGTGCAGAAAACTAAAAACAGGAACATGTCTGCAATGGTTTTGCCAGGAACTTAACAGATGTTTAAAGCTACTTAGAGAGGTCAAGGTTGAGAGCTTCAGATCTTTTTGCAAGATATTCCAGGAAACAGGAGCGGAGTAGGAGAAAGCCATTTTGCCAAGTTCAGTCCGTACTGAGGGATGTGATAATGTCCTGAGAGCGCACGTTGTAGCTGCACTCACGCAGTGACATGTAGGAGATGTATGAAGGCAGCAGACAGAGAAGCGATTTAAAGATGAAAATGTACCAGTGGGAGAGTCTGTGAAGTTAATGATGTCCAGTTAACCAGTGAATACAGGGTGCAATGATGGGTACGGTAGTTACAGCCAGTTATGAATCTTAGCGCAACGTGATAGACAGCATCCAACATCTGCAGGGTGCTTGTAGAAGCATTCATGTAAATATCACTGTAGTCAGTGGAGGGAAGGAAAGTCACAGTTACAAGTCACTTCCTAGCATTCAGTTAAACAGGATTTATTTCTGAAAAAGAAACCCAATTTAACTTTCAGTTTCCTTAGTAGGTTTTCCACGTGGAGCTTAAAAGAGAGATGCGAATCGACCAAGGTATCCAAATATTTGTAGGAATCAACAAACTGAATAGGAGCACCATTTGAGGATAAAATCAAAGGAAGAACTGCTGGGACCGACTTCCTGTTTGAAAAAAGCATCCCTTTGGTTCTGTCGGCGTTTAGGACAAGTTTGAGACAGAAGAAATCTGACGGGATTATGTCAAAGGCGGATTGCAAAAGTTGGAAAACCTTAGCAACTGTTTTAGCTCGACAATAAACAACTGTGTCATCAGAATAGAAATGTAAGGATGCGTCAGGGATGCTCTGGCCTACATTACCTACCTATATCGACTGTAAAGAGGGTGGGTCCTAAGACTGAGCCTTGTGGTACACCATTGTTGACTGTTAAATAACTGGAGGAAGAACCATTATTAAGTATCTTTAACTTTTGACCTTGTTATCTGCAAAATAGGTCAAGTTTTAGCTGTGGAAAACCTCGTTAATGGCATTGGCTTCAAAATCAGTAGTAGATGTTCATCTAATGATTACTTTCTGAGAATTTCATTCGGAACCGTACACTGGTGCATGAGATATTTTACTGACAGTATAGATAAACAAATACAGACATAAAAAAAATAGATCTGCCTTCAGTGAGACTTTAAACAAACTCGATGTATAAATCCAAGCCTTTTCCATGTTGTGCAATCCTTGTACCCCATTCTGCTGCAATATGAGTGTGTTTGTGTGCAAACTGCGTGTGTAGGTGTGACGTCAACCGTCATCCCTTAAAGGACAAAAGATGTGATGCCTCCCCATCGCCCTCCATCTTCCTTCTAGCTCAAGTGACAGTGCTGAGGGGCAATGAAGAAGAATCTGTCAGTCTGCCTGATGCCCCCTGCACACTCTCCACCCAGTCCCTCTGTGGAGAGGCAGTTACTGCAGACATCAGTCTGTCACAAACTCTGACATGCCGAGAGGAGGCAGACATTCTCTGGCTCATACCAAAGGTGAGACACTTTTTAAGAGACCCTTGCAGCTGTTTTTTTTTTTTTTTTGTCTCACGGCACCCAGAGCTTTGGTGGCAAAACCCAACGCACCCAGTTCTCCCCACTTCTGTAAGCACACCAGCACAGACACACAAAGACTGTCAGTCAGGCAAACACGGTCTGTGATCTGACATGAGATGGAGGATGCTTACGCAACACTTGATTCATTTCAGAGGTGTAATTGGATGTCTGTTTGGGTCGGGTGAAAAAGGCTTTTGGTGCCAGAAATATCAAAGCTGACATTCATCAGAGTCTGCCAAAATAACACAAAGATATCTTTTTGAGAAGACAAAAAACACAAACAAAATAAATCAAGAAGGATATTTATTTATTTTACATGCAAAAAAAAAAAAAAAGCAAAACAACAACAACACATCTAATATATAAAAATGTAAATACAGTTATGCAACGATGTTGTTTCATTTTAAATACTGTTTACTATCCCTGGTAAATACAGAGGCATTGTAACTCCACAACAGTAATTGCTTTCTGAGGGACAGAAAACATTGATTCAAAATATATGCTAATGCATGTTTTTGCAAAAATTCACAAAAAGCTCAGAGGAGTCTAAATAAAATTCAAAAGATCTTCCAGTCTTCGCTTTAATTTCCAGAGTACAACCAAAAAGTCTTATGTAAGTAGACCTTTGTCCGGAACGTAGAAGTTGAAGCCAGAATGCGATCAGCTTCCCTGTTGGCTGGTTTCAACATAAGTCCCGCCCCCTCTTTGTTTAAAAATTAAAACCACACCTCAGGTCATTGTTTTCAGGCTTTGATTCTTGTAATCTGTACCTTGCATGTGTAAGTTACCATTTTTTTTAACAAGTTTAGCTGTAATTATTTATTTATTGGTTAAAAGAAAGGTCATGTAATGCCATGATTGTGTGCAGGGGGATAGGTAGGACTTAGAAGACCCATCATTATTGCGCAAATGCTGGATTCTAAAAATACAGCATGGTAGCTTCCATAAAACAGTTTCTGCTGGCTTCAATTCCCAACAGCTAGAGAAAGTCAGGCTCCTTTGTTTACCAGTATAATTTATCTATGAGCAGAACACACGGAGCATGTGTTGTCCTGTTTAAGGAGTTCTCAGTCTGAGATATAAAAACTATAAACATGGATTCTTGGACCTTAGAAAAACACTTCATCTATATTATCCACAAAAAGATAAGCTGAAGTTACAAATAAAATATGTATTTTAGTGTTGAGTGAAAGTTTGATATTCTTCACATACGTATCATAAAAAAAAAACAATTTACAAATGGTCTTTTAATTTATGATGGCAGAGAAATAAAAGGAAAACTATGTTGGCAATTATATAATAGATTAAACCAACTAGGCAGTATTTAGGATGAATAAAGCTATAAATGCAAAGTACTAACTCATGCAACTACTAAACATCAAAGGTTCAGTTCAGAGTTAGTGGTTTAGGTCCTGTTAAAAACAGTTCACTCACAAAATGAAGTTTAAAAGTAAATGTTTCAAGGTACTCAATGCAAAGTCATAAAGACTGGTCAAAAACTGTCAAAGTAAAAATAAATACTGTATTACATTTTTCTCATATTGTTGGTTAATGTGTCCATAAAAAAAATTGTAAGCAAAATTTGTGAATGGCTGACAAATACCACGTGTGTTTACCTCTAGAAACAGCCAAAGTGGATGAAAATAGGGGCACCAATGGAAGAGCTGTTTGGGACGAAGTCGACCGACAGGTTGGATGCACTGGAACAAATTTACACTCAGTGTTGTGTAAAATATGCAGATAAAAAGAAATGTTAGTGGCATGCGGAGAAATCTAATTTTCATTTCAAAGCCAAGCATCACATCAATGTCGTCACGATGGGATCAATACTTGAGTTGGTTTCTCTACTTTCAGTTTGCTGCTCCAGAAGTGTTAAGAAGAAATATGATTTATTATTTTGTTTCTGAGCAAAAAGTACATCAATAAAAACAAAAAAGATGTAAATTATAAAACGTTCCTTTTCCATTCCATTTTTTTCCTCATTTTGGCAAATCCAGTAAATTACAGTAACGTATATAATTTATATTTGTCTAGAAACTTTGCAAAGAAATGGCTAACTATTAATGCAAAAGAAAAATCAAAAATTTAAGTCGCTTTCATAATCTGCCCATTTTGTCTGTTTGTGTTTATCTTGTCTTTATTTATTTTCCTGATCCTTGTGTTTGACTCTGTTCTTAGAGTGTTTCTCCCTCTTGTGGTCTGTCCCAGCTATTGCTCCCTCATGTAATTAGCTTCTGCCACCACCTGTTGTCTCTCGCAGCTGTTTGTCATTTGTCTGTCGTTAGTGTGTGTTTATAAGTCTGCGTCTCCTGGGCATTGCCTCATGAAGGCTCCATGGTCCTGTTCTGCATGTTCCTGGTTTCGTCTTCCTTAGTTTCCTCTCATGGTTCATGTAAATTGTTGCTGCCACGTCAGCCCTTTTTTGTTTATTTTTATTGAATACCTTTTACTTTTAAACCTGAGTCCTCTTTTGGGGTTCAACCAACATCAGATTGTTACAGCCACAAAACTATATTCAAATTAAGTATACTGATAGTAAAGCAAGGTGCACTACTTTCCATAAGTGACACTTTATAGGCTGCTCTTAAAAGTTAAAAGTATCGGATCGATATCGGCAACACTGGCCATGTATTTACTTCGTATTGGAACAAGTTTTATAATATTGCACACAACTAACGGTGGTTTTAATGTAGACTAATCGTGATTAAAGCTTCCACTTGTTTTTTTACATCTAGTACATACCCACATTTCAGAATTGCGTATCAATACATCTGGAGAACTACTAAACTATTTTAAACTGCACCATTACATAAGTTTGAAATGTAAAAAGGGTTTTTCTATTTCATACTTTGCAATGAGTACCTTTTTAACTCGACATTAACCGTTTCAAACTTCATTAATACGTTAGACTCACAGTGGAAAAAGAGCAGGGACATTTCTTCTCTTCCAGTCAAATTCCATTATTAAATCGCTCAAACAGGTTTACTTCCAAACGATCCTAGAGAATGTGTATTATCGCACACGGACTCACTGTAAACGCACACTTGTTTCTCTTTGGATGAGTCTGATCCTGCAGTGAGTGCAGGTCAGGGCAGTGGTTACTGTTCTGTCTGTAGTGTTTGTTTGCTTTCCAGCGAGTGTATAAGGCTTTGTAGTGTGGTCAGGACTGACCAGGAATGTAGAATCAAAAGGCTGCTGGTTTCAAAGCTGTAGTTTTAAAGTTCTTCAAAGAAGGCCACCCTGGACTTGGTGCTCTGCAGCGTCAGCTGTGGAAGAGACGACAAAGACACAATTAGGTTTACGTAAGGAAAAAACAAATAGTACATCTTTTGAAGGAGAGCTAGTTTACACACATGCAAATGAAGAAGACGGTGACAGAAAATATTGTTTCCCCTCTTAATCAGCCTTTCTGACTGTTGGTCAACAATCTTGCTGAATAATAGCAGACAGACACTTAGCTTATAGTTTTGCAGCTGTCAACAGCCATTTGGATTCTGCAAGTCTGTGAGGAGCAGCACGCTGTGGCACCCTGGACGAGTTTCTTTTCATTCTGCGCTGAGAATTCAGCTTCATAGTATTTGGATGTGATGTCGGGCTTCGGAAGTGTTCTGCCATGTCATTCAAATGTCTCGGGCTGTGATGATTAAAGGATCCAGTGCTGCACTTTCACCAAGTTCATGCTCAGGTTATGATGCTTTCATTAAGTATCATTCAAAAATGAAGAAAACATCAGTGATGGGGGAGCAAAACTGGATACAATTACCAAACTTTCAAATCTCTAATCCCAGCTTTTAAAGTAATCAATAAAATGTAATTTAATACCATAGTATAACTATATAAGAAACCAATAAAGTACAATTTATTGCAACTATTAAAAGTGTTAACTGCTCAAAAAGTAAACTAGATAAAGTAACAGTTGTGTCTGTGTATTAACTGTGAACTTCCTCTATGCAAAACTTTAGTGCTATTCCTGCAGTAAAGGGGATATTTATTCAATTCAGTTTACTGAAATTGTACCAAGCAGCTTTGTATAAAGTACCTCAATGTCACTAAAGTAATCTTATTTATAAATTTTGATTCTTGAAAGGTTTGATCATTTTTTGGAAAAGTTTTCAAAGATCTCTGCTATCTCAGCTGAGGTGAGCTGGTCTGGAAAGCTCAGTCCTCACCTCCTTCTCCAGGTGTGCAGTGGAGAGCACCTTGTGCTCCAGCACCAACGAGTGGCATGGAGGCTGCAGAGAGTGGTGAAGGCTGCACAGAAGACTGTTGGAGTCAGCCTTCCCAGCATCACAGACATTTACACCTCCAGATGCAGGAAGAGGGCCAGCTGCATCATGAAGGACCCCACTCACCCAGCACACACACTTTTTGCTTAAGTGTAGAACCACTAGACTGAGCAACAGCTTCTACCCTGAGGCTGTTAGACTCACGAATCTCTAACCAAAATAATCACTGTGAAAAATATCACATCATGTAGCTGCTGATCCGTTTCATGTTACTGCTGATCTGTTTCATGTTGCTGTGTTCATTCGTATCTGCTCACACCGACTCGTGTTCGTGCTGCTGTTCGGTGTATTTTGTTTTTATACTACTAGTGCTTAGTGTATTTTTATTAACGTTTTTCTTTACTGTTTTTCTTTTACATTTTATACTTTTGTTGGATGTAACTGGGACCCTGTGTACACAATTTCGTTCCACCACATGTAGTGCGAATGACAAAGAACCTTGAATCTACAGCGACTGTAACAGATTGAGAGAAGAGTGGGAGCAAAAGCTTTTTGAAGAAAGAATTGACAAATGCTTTTCTGCCCAGGTCTGAATGAGTGGGTGGTTGCTTAAATCAATTCCCTGAGTCGTTTTAATCCAACCGAAGAGACGGAACAGTTTGAAATAGCTAGGCAAACTATTCCCTCCCTGTGAAATCTGTAAATAACAGGAATTAAAGCCACTGCAAGGGTGAATATTAGACTGGGGCTGGAGGACAGCTTGGGAAATCCAGATTCTTTGGGGGAAAAGGTGGATGAAAGACTCGAGCAAATCCAAACAGAAAAGGTGTGCGAAAAATGAATTTGCTGAGTAATATTTACCGATTACCTTGTATTGTCCCTGCTGACACGCAGTCTGAACAATGTGAGAAGGAAAGCCTGACTGTGCATTTATCTAATTCTCCAGACTACAGAGTGGTAAGTCTTTTAGTGTTTGACTATTAAAGTTGGACAAGCCAGAATATAACAAGTATTTCCAGAAAAATGGCCCTTCAGTTTATTCTTCTGTACAATAAGGGCCTCAACAGTTGACCTCCTTTCTGTGTGCCACTTTTTATGATCTGAATGCACAACAAAAAACATCTTCTCCCAGAATCCCTGTAACTCTTGTGTTGTGATTTACTTGTTCGGAACGAGCTCTGTTGTAATGGCCTCGTGTCAACCGAGTAGAAACTGGGGCCTGAGAAAAGTGAAAAGTGCACTGAACTGTATTAAGATGATGTTCATTAATCTTTAAGATAAGAGGAAGTCCAAATGCACAAAAATACATTATAAAAAGATATGCCATGACTGATACCTAAAGAGATGGATGCGTTGCTATCCATCCCCTGTGCTTGTTTTTCTAAATTCGCACCACACTCTCAGCACTTCGCTATAATTTAGCCTCCCCCACAAATTCATCACTACTGGAACATTTCTGTTCAGCCTCTGCACTTCATCTCTTTTGGCTGAACTGATTTAGGCCCAATACCATTTCACATCTTGCCCTGATCATTTAAACATGCTCATGGCAAATCAGACTGGACAAAAACATTTCATAAAGTAAAAAAACTAAACCCATACAATACTTTTTATATTGTATCATACTAATACACCCTAAAATTTTAAATTTTGCAAGCAAACTTTGACTTGATGCCAACTACCACAAGCGCTTACCAGTAGAAACAGCCAAAGTGACTGCATTTAGGGTCAAGGTTAAACCTATCAGCCATATTTGTTTACCTACTCAGACTACGGCCAGCCTAATGTAGATCAACCATGTGACAAACTTCCACGTAGTTTTTGACATATTTAGCCA